ATTTCAGTAAAATGGCAGAGGAGAAACTGACCCACAAAATGGAAGCCAACAAAGAGAATCGGGAGGCACAAATGGCTGCCAAACTGGAGCGTTTGTGAGAGAAGGACAAGCACATTGAAGAAGTGCGGAAGAACAAAGAATCCAAAGATCCTGCTGATGAGACTGAAGCTGACTAATTTGTTCTGAGAACTGATTTTCTCCCCATCCCCTTCCTAAATATCCAAAGACTGTACTGGCCAGTGTTTTATTTTTACCCTCCTGACAGATATTCTAGAAGCTGATGTAGGATTATAGGTAGATCCAGACTGTATGATGTTTTAGGGGTTTAAGAGGAGAAACTAAAAGTGTTTTACTCTTTTTCTAAAGTGTTGAAGTCTTTCTAATGTAGCTATTTTTTCTTGTTGCATCTTTTCTACTTCAGTACACTTGGTGTACTGGGTCAATGGCTAGTACTGTATTGGCTCTGTGAAAGCATGTTTGTGAAAAGAGTATGTAGTGGCTTCTTTCAAATTGTTAGGTGCTGAATATCTGTTCACTTTTAAATCCCAATTCTGTCCCAATCTTACCAGATGCTACTGTATTTGAATGGTTAATAAAACTGCACAGTGCTGTTGGGAAAAAAAAAAAAAGATTTTAGGGACAGCCTGTTAGCGCGGTGCTCATAACACCAAGGTTGCCAGTTCGATTCCCACATGGGCCACTGAGGTGCTCCCTTCACAACTAGATTGAAGCTACTACTTGACTTGGAGCTGATGGGTCCTGGAGAAACACACTGTTCCCCAATTAAAAAACAAAAACAGGGGCCGGCCGAGTGGCGCATTGGTTAAGAACTGGCTTGGGATGCCAGAGGGCCCCGGTTCAGATCCCACCTATGAGGGCCAATGACACTGCCCTCTACAGCTAAGATGCTGAACAACAGCTCAACCTGGAGCTGGGCTACCGTGGGTCGCCAACGACGGCGTAGGCTACAGTCCCCTGCTGCAGTGGGCTGCCATAAGCTACCATGTGTAGCCGGCAGCCAGCGTCAGCAGCCAGCAGCTGCCATGAGTGGCCGTCTAGAGGCTGGCAACTGACCTGCCTCGCCTGGGAAGAGCGCAATGAAGGTGCCAACTTGGGCCAGTGAAGCAACGTCTTCCACAACTAGACTGAAGAACAAAAGGACAGCAACTTGTCTGTTCCCCTTCCCCCAATTCCCCAGCGCTGTTCCCATCCCCTAACTCCCCAATTAAAAAAAAAAAAAAGAAGAAGAAGAAGGCTACCCATTAACCCAGTTTTCACCACAGCCTCTTCATGTAACTCAGAGGCTGGACGCACAAAGTGATATCAGCATGCAGGCCTCCACCATGGGATATCTAGATAAATGGGGAAGGGGTTTCAAAGCGCATCTACCCACACTATTTGGGGACATATAGCAGGTGAGGATAAAATGGTCTCTATTCAGGGGAGAGTAAACAGAACAAAAAGCAGCACAAAAGATATGCAGAGTTTCTACAGCAAAAAAAATAAAAAGCGCAGCAAGAAAAAGAAGATAAAAATGTATTGGAAAATTCTCCCGGGAAAAAGGAAGAAAACTTCAGTTAATAACTGCTTCACATTCCCGAGGAAATCAAAGAAAGCCTGATTTCCATGTCACAATGGATAAACCCAGACTGAGATGAAAGGAACTGTCAGAGCCACAGAAAGATGTAAAAGAGGCAATCATGTTCATCATAGAAGCAGCAGAGACTACGGCCAATGATGCTGAAAACAAATCAGTGGCGCAGAGTAAAGGCTTGTAAAAATGAAGGTAACTATATAAACTGAACATATTTAAGCTTCGCAGCAGCTCCATCAGATGAAGATTGTTACCCTTATCGCGGGGGAATAATCTGAGGTATCGCCAAGGGCACCCCAGCTACTAAGGGCAGAATTGGAATTCACTCAAATCCAGATTTAGCCTGACTGTCACACCCATACTTCCAAACACAACAAAATTAAGATTTTCCATCTTTAGAATGGCATTAGAATTGCCTTGATGCTGTGGCCAGTAGCCAGACAGAGAAGTCAGGAATTCAATAAATTAGATGAATTGAGCAGTTAGAGAAGCATGCTATATGTGTGCTGTAGAATTTTACCTAAAGCGAGAGGTATGATTTGAAGACTATGAAAAGAGCAAAAGCAGGGGACATGGGGTTGCAAACAGTCCCATTTGAAGGGACAGACCTAGAATCCCCTGCTGCCACAGTGATCCTAAATCATAGCTCAGTGCACCTTTCCTTGCCATGGGCAGGATCACTGTGGGCACCTGCAGCTCTGGAGTATTTGTCCCAGTGTCACGTCTCGTCACTCAAAGCCACCCCAACCTGCCTGAGATGGTAAGACAGGCATTGAACTGTCTACCCAGAAACTGGGTTGAGGTGACAAACTATTCTTTTCGTGTTTAAGGTGAGGTTTAAGAATATTCGGTTTATGTTTGTTATTGAAGTTCCTTGTACTGTTTACATAATTTTGGCATATTAGAGAATCTCACACATTGGGTAGCAATTCCAACATCAAAGTGAAATGGATCTCAGACTAACCTTTTTAAATGGGTAGATGTAGGAGTATTTGATGAAGTTTGTAAACAATATTATAATATTAAAGAGAACTGAATTCACGATATTTAAGATTAACAAGAGTTGTTTAAATACAGCACATAAAGTTTGCTTCATAGCCTGCTGGGTCATCCAGGGCTTCTTGGAAGATGAAGTAAATATACTTTTCCCTATTCCTTTCACTAGATACAACTAAACACCCTGGATATTATATATAAAATGAACATAAGAAGACTCTAAAAGGCAAAGAGAAGAAGGGAGACCAGCTAGGGACCTTGGGTTCCAAGGAACAACAAAAATGGTAAGTTTTCTGGGTGTCCTTTATGCCTCCAATTTCCAGACTTAGAGCTTGATGAAGCCAGCGACCCAGAAACACCAAGGAACACAAACCAAAAGTAACCCCACCCCCAACAAAATCCTTTTTTCTCTCTAGCCAAAGGGTCAAGCTAGCAAGACAGAACACTTTGAGACAATAACTTCTCTATCTCACCCAAACACCATCCCTCCTCACACCAGCAAAGACCAAGTAGGAACCCAGATTGTCACATTCCCCAGGTTGTATTGAAGTGCCACAACCTTCCCACCAAAATGATGTCAGAGAAGGCCAACTAGGGAGCTGGGATTTTCATACCCTGCAAGCAGTAATGAGATGCAGCTCCTGCCTCCAGTGTGAGTAGAGACCACTAGAGAACCTGACTTACACCACCCAGCACTCTCCCTTTCTCCCTCCCTACAGTGTTGTCAGAGGAGGCCTCGTGGACAATAGGACTTTCTCTACCACCCAGATAACAAGAGGCCACCCCAACCCCATGGTGTCAGTGGAGGTCATATTGGGAACAGCAACAAGGCATTTCTACTCCTTTCAGCAAGAAAAGCGCCCATGGAGGCCTACGGGAGAACCAGAACACCCACCCTTACAAACAGAAAACACTGAGATAACAGAAATGTTAAATTATTTGACAAAGATTTTAGAGCAGCCATGATAGAAATGCTTCAATAAGTAATTATGAACACACTTGATATAAATGAAAAAATAGTCTCAACAAAGGCATAGAAGATATTAAAAAGAACCAAAAGGAAATTTTAGAATTTAAAAATGACAATGACTGAAATGAAAATCTANCCCCCCCCCCCATGGCTCCTAAGGGACTCCTATCACCCAACACCCAGCCCTGCTCAGCCAGCACATGCCCCGTCCCGCTACACCACGTCCCTTAGTCCCCATCCACCCAGGACTGCACCCACCTCACTTCCGCCCTCCCTTTTCGGGGGTTAAGAGCCTCATCACCTCCTGCAGCAGCTCACTGTAATCATCCTCGGAGCAGCCGCCAGGCCCCTCCTCTTCCTCTTCCTCCTCTGCGGCCAGGCCCTTCTCCAGCTCTCTCCCGTTCCCCTCTTCCAAGTCCAGCTGCAGACTGCACTCAAGCTGTGTGGCCACCTCCAGGCTGTCTCCCGCCCCTGAGCGGTCCCTAGGCCCCGAGGGCTCAGTGCCCACTGGGTTCAGCAGCTGCTTTTTCTCACATCGCTGGCCCGGGCTCTTTAGGTCCTCTGTTGCCTGAGTCATCAACACAGGGGGCTCCTGATCAGAGCTGGGGTCCCCAGCACCAACATCTCCAGGCTCTTCCAGGAGCCTGCCAGCTGGAGAGTCAACCTTGAGCTCTGGGGTCGCAGGTGGAGCCCTTTCTTCTTGTCTGCGTAGGACCCGGGGCACATACAAAGCCTGGTCGGGCTTGCGCCCTCGATGCCACCGGCCAGCCCGGGCCTTTCGGGGGCCAGCAGGCGCTCCCTGGTTTGAAGTGGGCTGAGGACCTTGGTACTTGCCAGGGCGGGAGGCAGGAGGGCGACAGGGGCCAGAGAGTCCGTCTGAACTGGGTAACCTGGAGCAGGAGCAGATGGTGGTTAGAGTAGTGTCTGGGCCCCAAGGAAAATGATTTATCTGCCTTTCAGGCAAGAGGCCCTCAAGTCAGCATTAGGTAAAAAGCAATGCCAAAATGACCCTCGAAAATACTTTAGGAAGGCATCCTAGTGGAGGCTAAGTGCCCTCTCTGAACAAACCCAAAGCAGCCAGCTCTCCCTCCAGTGTTTAAACTGAGTCAGAGACAGCTGAACCTTTGGCTATGTATCGGGTAAGTACTTACGTTTAGGAACTAGGTTATTAGAAAAATCTTAAACACTAGGATCATAGTCATTATGATGACATCCTGCGAGATGCACATGGAAACAGAGATGAGTGAAGGCTCAGACGTGCTTCTCACGTTCATCCCATGGCCTCTGGAGCACATGCTCACTGAGCAGGGCTGGGTGTCGGGCAGACACCCTCAACTGCTTAAACTGTTCTGGCTCTTCCTCTGTTTCAGCCCAACATGCATAGTTGAATTTGCTAAATGAATGGCACATACAGTGTACCTCAACTCCATAGATGAAAGAAGGGACAGCGCTGACTTTAAGTGACTAAGGTTGGGGATAGGGGGCTTCTGGCCCTGGTTTCCTGACAAGCTCCCCCTCCCAGGGCCGACCAGCTCACTCACCCACCCACAAGGAACCGCTGAGGGCCTTCCAAGGTGGTAGGATACACACCTGATGCCCAGGTGACAGATGACCGTCCTCCTCTTCCAGCCCTCCCCCACAGAGAAGCTGCTCAAAAGATCAAAATTCTCTGCAGTCCTGTGGATCAGGTACCGGAGGCGACTGGAGAGTGGGGGGAAAAGGAGTACCCTGGGAAGGGACAGGAAGGAGTGCTGAGCAGGGGCTCCAGGTCCAGCCCCTGGGGCCTGAGCCCCACCAGGTCCACTCCCAGTTTAAAGGTGGCATTAACACTAGGCTCGCTCTGCCCGCTTGAGTCCTAGGCTGACTACAGTGGACCTGAACATAGAGGTTATTACCGGGAGCTACAGCTCCCATCCCCATTCCTGTGCTGGGCACCTTCAGCCTCGGGGTGATGCTCAGAATTACACAGGGAAAATGCAGCTGGGAGAGGCCAGAGAGCAGACTGTGAAACCTAAAGGCCTCGGTCAGAGGCAGGGGCAGGCCAGTTACCCTGAATGCACCACTGCGGGAGGGGACAGAGGGGAGCAGGAGTATCCTGCCCTTCCTAGCAGCAGGGCAGGCCCCTCCACCATGCTCCCTCCAGCTTACTTTGACAGTTGCTTCTGCACCAGGAAGCGGTCCAGCTCCTCCTGGACGCGGTGCACAAAATCATTCTCGGTCGGGGAGAGGAAGACGCCGTCCAAGCAGAGAAGGGCCAGGGTGACAGGTGGAAGAGCCTGTGGGGCAGACGGCCAGGGCAGAGATCAGAGCACAGACCCCGAGCCACCCCAACCCCGCAGTGCTGCAAGGGACTCAGAGACATTGTGGTTCAGGTCCCTCCTCAGACAAGCGAGGCGCAGGCTCGGAGGTGGGGAAGGACCGTGCCCACGCTCCTCCCCGGCACGGCAGCAGCGGGGCACGAAAGGGGTTCCAGGCCCCTGCCTGAGCGTGTTGCTCCGCACGCGAGCCCCATGCTGCTGGGCCGTTGTGCCCGTGCTGCGCGCGCTTGCCCCAGGCTCGCGGGCTCTCAGGCCTGGGCGGGGAGTCGGGGAGGCCGGGGCCGCATCGGGCCTGTTCGGAGGGTACAGTCGGTCCTCCTCAGCTCGGGGGCGAGAGGCCAGGAGGGTGAGAGCCGGCCGCGAAAAAGCTACCCGCCCCAGGATCGGCCGCCGCACTCACCGCAGCCGCCCCGCGCGCAGCCGCCGCCCTGAGGGTCCCCAGAAGCCTGCACGCCCCTTCGCATCCAACAACGGCCCAGCTTTGGCGGGGCCGCAGCGCCCCGGTGCGGCCCGGGGGTGGCATCGCAGAAATGGCAGAGGGGCGTGTGATTGACTTTCACCACAGAGCACACACTGTGTCCAGGGATCAATTAAATCTAGCTAACACTTCTGAATGGCACCTATATACTAGGTCGTGAGGGTACCAGATTTTCCAGTTCATTGTTCCTTCCCCTAGGGACATAACAGAAGAATAAGGAGACAGGAAATTTCTGGGCGCCAAGTATCTCTCCACCTATTGCTCTTCTTTGGCCCTCATTGGTGGAACTTGCAAAGAGGTCCAGCTCACACCAAAGGGTCGCTGACAAGGTGTACTAGCCTTGTGGGTAACAGGCCAGAGAAGCCACTATAACATGGTGAATTGCGGGCTGCGGAATTATACTACCTTGCTACATCCAGAAAAAACTCTGTCACCCGCCTTAAATAGGGCTTGAAATTCTTGCCATTGTACAGCCAGTGGGATGGGCTACAATAATCTAGTAGACCAGGGTTGAAATCTTCCTGTTCCCTGAAAGGTGCTGAAATATAAACCCTTGATCATCCTGAATCGAGAAGCCCAGAGCCAAGCAAGGGCCCAGAGCTAACAGCATTTAAAAGCAAGATTTTAGGGACGCAGGGCCACGCCCACCCTGGGCTCGGCGCTGCGTCTGATGGTTTGCCTGGGCTGGATTCTAATTTACAGCTGTTAGGAATCTGTAATCCTACATTTTTGATACTAGCCTGGGTTCCACAAGAATCAGGACCTCAAAAAAATCAAGGCAGGATGTAGGATTTTTCATGACATAAGGCAGCAAATATAACCTAAAACCTAGAGGGTTTTCTTTGCCAGCGGATTGTGTAGAATACACAGCCAGTCTCTTGTCTTCTGTTCACCATGGCTTCTTCTGATATCCAGGTGAAAGAGCTGGAGAAGCGTGCCTCAGGCCAGGCTTTTGAGCTGATTCTCAGCCCTCGTTCAAAAGAATCTGTCCCAGAATTCCCCCCTTTCCCCTCCAAAGAAGAAGGATTTTTCCCCTGGAGGAAATTCAGGAGAAATTAGAAGCTGCAGAAGAAAGACGCAAGTCCCATGAAGCTGAGGTCTTGAAACAGCTTGCTGAGAAACAAGAGCACGAGAAAGAAGTGCTTCAGAAAGCTATCGAAGAGAACAACAATTTCAGTAAAATGGCAGAGGAGAAACTGACCCACAAAATGGAAGCCAACAAAGAGAATCGGGAGGCACAAATGGCTGCCAAACTGGAGCGTTTGTGAGAGAAGGACAAGCACATTGAAGAAGTGCGGAAGAACAAAGAATCCAAAGATCCTGCTGATGAGACTGAAGCTGACTAATTTGTTCTGAGAACTGATTTTCTCCCCATCCCCTTCCTAAATATCCAAAGACTGTACTGGCCAGTGTTTTATTTTTACCCTCCTGACAGATATTCTAGAAGCTGATGTAGGATTATAGGTAGATCCAGACTGTATGATGTTTTAGGGGTTTAAGAGGAGAAACTAAAAGTGTTTTACTCTTTTTCTAAAGTGTTGAAGTCTTTCTAATGTAGCTATTTTTTCTTGTTGCATCTTTTCTACTTCAGTACACTTGGTGTACTGGGTCAATGGCTAGTACTGTATTGGCTCTGTGAAAGCATGTTTGTGAAAAGAGTATGTAGTGGCTTCTTTCAAATTGTTAGGTGCTGAATATCTGTTCACTTTTAAATCCCAATTCTGTCCCAATCTTACCAGATGCTACTGTATTTGAATGGTTAATAAAACTGCACAGTGCTGTTGGGAAAAAAAAAAAAAGATTTTAGGGACAGCCTGTTAGCGCGGTGCTCATAACACCAAGGTTGCCAGTTCGATTCCCACATGGGCCACTGAGGTGCTCCCTTCACAACTAGATTGAAGCTACTACTTGACTTGGAGCTGATGGGTCCTGGAGAAACACACTGTTCCCCAATTAAAAAACAAAAACAGGGGCCGGCCGAGTGGCGCATTGGTTAAGAACTGGCTTGGGATGCCAGAGGGCCCCGGTTC